AGCCAACATCATTAATTAGCAGTCCTGCATGTATTGGTAGAGAGCTGGGACTTAATTCTGAATGGCCTGAAGCAGGAATATGGCAAATTCTAATCAGAAGAATAATATGACCAGAGCAGGACTTTAGGAGAAAACACAAACAGTAGCAATATTTTCTGATTACCTGGATGAGAAAAAACTTGAATCAATTGGAAGGCCCAAATAGTATTCATATAGAAAGAAATAGAAACGTAAATTTGGGCAATGGTTATGGAAATAGATATGGGAGATATTATTTAATAATTGTTCTCAGATTTTTTCTGATGTCTCTATCAAATCCATAACAAGGTTGTGAACTACTTAAAAGAACATATATTTGTTAGACATCAACTTCATTCTTGATGGTTCAAATTTTCATTTTGGGGCACAAACGTACTTGATTTTCTTCCCTTTACATACTCCTAGTTTTTTCCTCTCCCTAGGCATACAGTAGGGATTTATACACTTGCAAAATAATCAGGCTCTACCACAGCACCCTCCTACGTACTTCTATGGAAAATTCCTAAATAAAAATTTTAAGAAAAGCTAGGACAGATGTTTCTTTACGAGCAGTCAAGCAATCCTGAGGGTAGGGAATATTTCTCAATTTGATAGTCACCTGGAAGGTCTATAATTTTTTCAATATTTCTTTAACCTCATTTGAAACTCCTTTAAGGGTTGCGAATGTCCTTTTAATATATTCATAGTCATGGCAGATCTTTTGCCTTTTGTGGACTTAGAATTTTGGAAATAACCAAAAAGTCATTTAGAATTATATCCATTAGGGGCTGGGGATGTGGCTCAAGCGGTAGCACGCTCGCTTGGCACGCGCGCGGCCCGGGTTCGATCCTCAGCACCACATATAAAACAAAGATGTTGTGTCCGCCGAAAACTAAAAAAAATAAATATTAAAAAATTCTCTCTCTCTCTGCCCCCCTCTCTCACTCTCTCTTTAAAAAAAAATTATATCCATTAAACCTTCTAAAGCAAAGATTGATTTTCATAAACTATCTTCCAAAAGGCAGCTCTAATTGAGTCCCCAAAATGTGTTATATCACTAGAATCACTAGAAATAGCAGTTGTTTTTTCAGTGAACCTAATTAAAGCATAACCCTCACTTAAATATCTATGTTCTGATAAATTTCATTCATTCAAATAGCAAATATTTATCAAATGCCTCAGTGGTAAGCATGGAATATGTAAGTCCTATCTTCATTGAACTTACATTCTAGCAGGGAGACACAGAAAATAGAAACTAAATACAATAAAGATATACATTATGAAATATATTATAAGGCAATGAGTGCAATATTGTCCCTCTTCTACTTAAAACCTTTCAACAGCTCTTTGTTAAGTTTAGGATCAAATTCAAAATGGTGCTAGGTATGGTGGTGCAAGCCTGTAATCCCAAGACTTGGAGGTTAAGGCAAGAGGATTGCAATTCAAGGCCAGCCTCAGCAACTTAGTGAGACTATGTCTCAGAATAAAAAAATAAATAAAAAGTACTGGGGATATAGATTAGTTAGAGCTTCCCTGGGTTCAATCCACAGTACCAAAAAACCCACAAAGTCCAAAATGACAAAGCAGCCCTCTATCCCCTCCCACCTTTCCAGCATCCTTGCCCACCCAGTGTCTGTCGTGTTAGCTGCTGCTTCTTTGTTCCACAAATACACAATTTCTTCCCATTTCCATCCATGTTCTCAAGGAGTTTAGGTGTGTGTGTATGTATGCACTGGGAGAAGTGGGGGATAGGCAATAAATAATAAGCAATAACATATTAAAATGCAGGGTATATTGGGAAGTAATGAATAGTATAAAAAATTAAAAAAGAAGTTGAATTTATCTAGGGAATCAGGAGTTAGAAATGTGAGAGTAACAATGGAGGGCAGGTTTAACTTCAATAAGGAGGTCAGAATAGGGTTCATAGAGAAGGTGAGAGCTGCTTGTGAAAGATTTGAGAACACTCAAAGAACCTAGATTCACTAGCTATAGGTGAAAAAAAAAAAAAAGGAAAGGAAACAACTCACCAATCTTTACGTTATGTTGTGGGTACTTTCGAATGAGCCGGATAATCTGTTGGGCAGCTTCTTGTCGAGAAGGAAGAACCAATGCTGGGTTGCAATTAGTATTGTCTAGGTATAAAGTATGGATCTGTTTCCCCAATGTCAGGGCTGGCTCCTTCAGCATGGATGGCGTATATCGAAAATCACCTGGAAGAGAATATATGGAGGGCAGAAGGTCAGAGACAAAAGAATAGAAGAAAACTCTCCCCCGCCTCCAACAACAGATTGGTTGTTGATTTGTGGAAAAACTAGGATGTGTCCTGGCACTGAACAATATATGCATTACAGCTTCTTTGTGGAAATGTCTCCACCCTGCTCCCATTTATACCAGGTTGAGCCCAGGGTTGCTTAACCACTGAGCAACATCCCAGGCTTTCTTTTTTTTTTTTTTTAATGTTTTGAGACAGATTCTCACTAAGTTGCTAAGATTGGTCTTCAACTTGCAATCTTCCTGCCTCTGCCTCCCAAATTGCTGGGATAACCGGCCTGCACCACTGTGCCCTGCCCTGCTCCTGTTTTTTAATTATATAATCTTCACAAGGATTGAACTGTCAGAGAGTGGGCAATCAGATGAGAAGGGGTCACTGCTTATAAGTGATGAAGCCAGAAGCCCTCCAGACTTCTACTGTGAGTTAAAGTTACTCAAGAAAAGTAGTATCTCAGCTGGAATGTGAGCAGGATCCCTTCGGAGACCCACCTGTATAAAGGATGGTTCCAAAGTATCCTTCAAAGAGAAACATGACAGAGCCAGGGCAGTGATTGGCATCGATGAGGGTTACAGTCATGGTCTCTCTTCCAGTTTCATCTAGAGGCAATACATGGCTCTCACCAACCTCCAAGGTTCGGATCCACTGCTTAGACACCTGAGGAAAGAGTTGGGTCATCCCAGTAACCACAGACTCCCCTCCTGGAAGTTTCCCTTACATGGATCAAAGAAAGGTGACCAATCCTGAGCCACCATGGAGTAAAAATTGTAAAGAGGCTTCCCAAGCAATCCCCTCTTCTACTTCCCACTCCCCATCCCACCCTTTGTATAGCTTTAAGAGTTTGAAAACAGTCTAGATAGTGATTCTCAAACTTTCTCTAGAGCATACTAATCCTTTGGGGACAATTGTTAAAAAAAAAAATAAATAAATAAAAAGAAAGAAAGAAAAGAAAAAGAAAAAAAGAAATCTTGCCAGATTTTTCAGGATCTCCACAAGCCATAGCTGCTGAATCAGATGGGACAAATGGGGGCTGAAGAGTTTGTATATTCATGTTACTTGGAGTCTTTTTTGGGGAAAGGGGACAGGTACTGGGGATTGAACCCAGAGGCACTTTTATCACTGAGCCATATCCCCAGCTGTTTTTATTTTTTGAGATAGGGTCTCACTAAGTTGAGGCCTAGCTAAACTGCTGAGGCTGACCTAGAACTTGTGATCCTCCTGCCTAGGCCACCACACCGGACTAGGTGGATTATTCATTTGTTTTTGGGTGCTAGGAATCAAACCCAGGGCCTTGGCAAGCGCTCTACAGAGAAACCACATCTCTAGCCCAGATGGATTCTTAAGGCAAGTTTGGGAGATACTAGCCTAGCTTATGTGAAAGAAATAATTCCTTTGGCTGAACTGACCTACTTAAAGCTAAAACATCTCAACATCTCCAGTCGTTCTGTTGAAAGCCGCACTCCTAACGATACATTTTGGGTTCAAACAATTCCTGCGTTCGTAAAAATTAGTTCTCTTGGCCGCCACTTTGTGACTCCAAGGTTGTGACAGATCAAGTCCCCACCCAGATGCCTGGACCAGCTCTTAAAGAGGATTACTCCAGCTCCCATACCTGTAGGTGACGGTGCAAGAGGTGGGCGGTGATGGGGGAGCAGTAGAGGGGTCGGGCCCAAGTGCTAGACAGGCCTACTGTGTGGTCCGAGTGCATATGGGACAAGAAGAAGAGCCGAGCAGTACTAGCCCGGCGCAGGCTCCAAAAGTCCACAGCAATGGGCGTGTGGGGAATCAGGACCCCGTTCATGGTGGAGAGGATGGGCTCTACTGGAGCAGGGCTCCTGCGTGAGGATTCCACAGCGGCGCCCCGGTGGAAGACATGCCGGGGCAAGAACAAGGCCGGAGGCCCTAAGGGAAAGCCTACCCAAAGGAGGAATAAGTTATTAGAATGAGCAAAAAGGAAGTGACAGTGTTCGTGGGAGTCGGGGAGAAAGCCCACATCGCGGAAGTTGCTCTCTTGAGTGCCACTCCCACCCGAGCGCGGGATCCGASGCCCAGCCGGCACTCAAAGCGCGCGCTGCTGGGAGGAGACAGGCCCAAGTAGCCGATTTCCGATTGCCAGTCGCAGCTCCACTACGAGCCGCGCGGCTGCGCCTGGAGGTGACAGGTTGGGGGAAGGGCACCTTAAGGTCGGGTTCGGCGCTCACAGCGAGAACTCAGTGAGGACTCTTGGGGAGAGGGCGGGACTTCCGCCAAAAGCGTGATTGGGTCTCTCCGTGACGGCAAAGGCGCGGAGGCAGAAGAAAGGCTGGAACCGGAGAGGGAGGGATCTGCGGCCGGTAGGCGGCGGGGATGGAAATTCCGTGCAGGCCTCGAGGTAGGGGGAGAGGTCTGTGGGCGGGGCGAACAGCCTGCGGGGCTGGGGTTGGGCCTGAAGGCCTAGGTTGGGGCTCGCCCTGGACGGGTGGGGGTTGTAGCCTGAGTGTCGGAGAGAATGGGTCCCAGCTCTGGGGAAGCTCCTAAGGCTGGGGCGAGATGTCGTCTTAAATAGTGGTTTTTGTTGTTGGGTTTTGTTTTTGTTTTTGTTTTGCACTGACCCAAATTTTCTTTGCTCAGGATCCCACATCAAGACTAAGAGTTTCTTAGGTACCGCGGGAACTGCCCCGTGAACGTGTTCGAGAAGATGCCGTATCTTGGCTCCGAGGACGTGGTGAAGGAACTGAAGAAGGCTCTGTGTAACCCTCACATTCAGGCTGATAGGCTGCGCTACCGGAATGTCATCCAGCGAGTGATTAGGTATCACCCAACTGCCTCAGCCTGCCAATCCTCCGCACTCCCCTTGCCCCACCTTGCAGTCCCCTTCAGGGATCGCCACCCCCAGCCACTCTGAAAGAGTAGAGGAACTTTCRTACAAGGCTGTTTTACCACTTCATCTTCATGCTTCTTCTCCAGATTGCCACCTCATTCTCCTTTTTGGGAAATCCTTTACTCAGCGAAATCCCTTCATAATACGGACTGAACACATTACTGTTGACTCTCTGATATTTCTAGTATGGAGATCATTTATAGCTTCAGACCCACATATACCACTGCCTGCTTGGCATTTCCACCTGGATAGTTCTTCAAAGGTATTCCCAAAATAGCACCAGCGTTCTTCCCTCCTTCCCAAACCTGTTCTTCTACTATCGTGTTGATGAATGTCACCAGCCAGTCTAATAAGCATGTCAGTCAACCTTGATGACACCTGATTCTTCACTTTGCATGTCAGGTGGTCTGAATAATTCTAAATACCCACTTCTGTTTTGATTGAGGCCTTCATTACCAAAGCCATTGTAGTTTACAATACACTGGTCACCTTGCTAGCTCGTTTATTTTTATTTATTTTGTTTTTTGTGGTACAGGGGATTGAAACTAGGAACACTTTTTCACTGAACCACATTCCCTGCCCTTTTTATTTTTTATTATGAGATGGGGTCTAAGTTGCTTCAGAGCTTGTTAAATTGCTGAGGCTGTCTTTGAACTTGCCATCCTCCTATCTCAACCTTCCAAGTTGCTGAGCTGCTCATTTTAATTAGAATTTTTCCACTATATAARTCTGAGTACATAACTCTTGCCTACAGCTGTCATTCACAGTCTTTAGTATGCACAAAGGTCCTGTGGGGTGCTTTTATGTTTGTTTTTTTTTTTAAGGAAGTCCAGCAGTTGATTCTAATTTTAGTAGGATGGGATGGAACCCTAACTAACATCTCTCCTGATGCCAGTAGTTTGATTCCACAGTTTAATAATCATCTACAGAATAAAGTACAAACTTACTACTGCCCAAGGAAACTCTACTAATGCAACTGCCTGTAGACTCTCAGAAGAATGTTCTCTTTTTGTTCACATCTATATGTCTCGCAGCATGTATCATTAACTAGAATATCTGTCTGATGAATTTCCTGATCATTTGGCTGAGACATTACTTCTGTGGAGAAACATTTTCTGACTTCCTGGTAGTGTTAGACCTCTGGGTCCCCTCTGTACTTTGTACATGACTTCTGTTTAAATACTTGTCTATTGTACTGTAATGGTATTCTTGTCTGGTTCTTTAGTTGATTTTGAGTTCCTTGAGGTTTGAGACTTCACCTTCTTCAAGATTATGACCCCAGAGCATAAACTTGGAATATAAAAGCTGTTTCATTGGAATGTACTAGGGATTCAACAAATGTTGAACAGTTAGAACAACAGTGTTTATTGCATTCCTACATTGTGAAATATTGTGTGATATAATAGACAAAGTAGACCTGGTTGCATCCCTCTGAAAGATCATAATCTAATTGGATAACCAGAAAATGGAAAAGTAAAACTTCCTCTGTTGTAAGTTGGGGATTTTGTAATTTACTTCTTCCTGCTATGTATCTTGATTTCAGGCACATGACTCAGGGCTTGGACATGTCTGGTGTTTTCATGGAAATGGTAAAAGCCAGTGCCACTGTAGATATTGTTCAAAAGAAGTTGGTTTATCTATACATGTGCACATATGCACCCCTGAAACCAGATCTGGCTCTCCTGGCCATCAATACACTGTGCAAAGACTGCTCGGACCCCAATCCAATGGTGCGAGGGCTGGCACTACGAAGTATGTGTAGCCTCAGGTGAGCAAACTCTTCCCTGCCTGGTCCTCAGAGGCTGATGAGTTCAGAAAGCAATGGGGCACATTTTTTGTTGGTTTGTTTTTGTGATGCTGGGGATCAAACCCAGGGCCTCACACATACTAGGCAAAGTGCTTTACTACAGAGTTACAACACCAGCCTATGGGTCAGGTATTTAATGAGAACAATTTATTTGAGCTCTTAAGTACTAGGGAAAATACTGCTATACCCTTAACTCAGATTTTCAGCCATCGTTGACTTAATAAATTGTATCATGTGGTCTTATTAAAGGAGGTTTTTTTGGGGGGTACCAAAGATTGAACCCAAAGGCACTTAATCACTGAGACATATCTCTAGCCCTTTTTATTTGTATCAGGGTCTCACTAAGTTGTTTAGGGTCTTCCTAAGTTGCTGAGGCTGGCTTTGAACTTGTAGTCCTCCTGCTTCAGCCTCCCGAGCTGCTGGGATTACAGGCATGCACCACCACACTAGGCTTAAAGATTTTTAATTCTCACTCTTGGTAACAGCCCTCAGTTTGGACTGAAAAGTTAAATAACTACTACTATGAGGATTTTTACTGCCCTTGTAGCATTATTCTAAATGAAAAGTAAAATTATGGCATTTTAAGTTTGGGATAGGTTTTCTCTAGTTGTTTGTGATATGACAGATGCATACTCTGACACCTACTAAACCCTCTGTTAAGTGAAGAGGGACCTAATTATTTCAGGATCTGGTTGACTCTAGGATTTGTCGTTTAGGATGCCTGGTGTGCAGGAATATATCCAACAGCCTATTCTCAATGGTCTGCGGGATAAAGCTTCATATGTCCGGAGGGTGGCAGTCCTTGGCTGTGCCAAGATGCATAATCTTCATGGAGACTCTGAAGTTGGTAAGTTCACAATAWTCCACCATGATCAATATTTATTCATGCTTCTGTTATGTGTATGACTTTATAAAAGATTATATAGCCTCAGTAGAAAATAATGTAGTTCCACTTCTGTGCATGTCTCTTAGTAGGATTCAGGGCTAGGTAGTTTCTGATATTAGGGAACTCATTTTTGAGGGCCCAAGTAAGAACTTTGCTTTAGTTACTTAGAACAATTTGGAGATGGAAGTTTTTTGCTTTACACAATTTTTTTTCTTTTTTTTAACTCCTTTTTTCACTACTTTTATCTTTCTCCCTCTCAGTCTGCTTACATTTTACTGCCTTTGTCATTTTTTATAGCAGAGAAGTTCAGCTTTATCTTCCTGGAGCTATTACTCTGGCCCTCTTCCTATAACTCTGAAGCTTTTCTTCTTTATCTGAGATCTTTGTTCTTTTTTATAGATGGTGCCCTGGTAAATGAATTATACAGTTTGCTGCGTGACCAGGATCCAATTGTGGTTGTGAACTGCCTGAGGTCTCTAGAGGAAATTCTGAAACAGGAAGGAGGTGTTGTCATTAATAAGCCCATCGCCCACCATCTTTTAAATAGGTTTGGATGCCTCTGTGCTCTTTTTATTATGAGGTCTGCATCCTGATAGAATGTTGTTGATGTATTAAATTAAGGAGAAATCTTGCCAGGCATGGTGGTGCATACCTGTAATCCCAGTGACTCAGGAAGCCGAGGCAGGAGGATCATACCCTATCTCAAAATAAAAATAAAAAGGCCTGGAGATGTGACTCAGTGGTTAAGTACCTGTGGGTTCAATCTCTGGTACCAAAAAAAAAAAAAAAAAAGTCTTGAACAACTTTTATAGGGTAGAAAAGAAAGGAGAGTTAACCATGATTATTATCTTCCTCACATTTCTTTTATTTGCCTTAATTTCTCTGACTGATATGTAAAATCATAAAAATATCCTGTGGGAATAATACATTCTTTCTTCCTGTACAGTCATTATGTCCCCAAACTAAGCCTTAATTATATCTTAAAATTTAGGGAATCTGGCCAAGTATGGTGGGGCAGACCTAAAATCCCAGTGGCTTGGGAGGCTGAGACAAGAGAATCCAAAGTTCAAAGCCAGCTTCAGCAAAACCAAGGTGCTAAGCAACTCAGTGAGACCCTGTCTCTAAATAAAATGCAAGATAGGGCTGGGGATGTGGCTCAGCGGGAGAGTGCCACAGTTCAATCCTGGTACCCCCCCAGAAAAAAAAATTAGGGAATCTGGCCAATGTGTAGTGACACATGCCGTAATCCCAGCTATACAGGAGTCCAAGGCAGGAGAATCATAAGTTCGAGGCCAGCCTTGGCAAATTAGCAAGATCCTGTCTCAAAAATAAAAGGGGCTGGGATGTAGCTCAGTGGTAAAGTGGTTGTTTAGAATTCACAAGGCATCAGATTCAATCCTCTTTACTGCCGGAAGGAAGGGAGGGAAGGAGGAAAGATAGATATGAATCTACTGTATACTGATTGTGGGATTAGTTAGGTGAGTGTGAATTTGTACCATCAAATTATCTTAGAATTTTCAGTCTATTTTGCATAAATTTAAAGAACATGTGAAAAGAATGATTTGATTATGGCTTACCCCATTTTTAAGAATTCTCCCCATGTTATGATGAACATAGCAGTAGCATGGAGATGGTCCTAATTTTGCTGTAAAAATAATGCTTTTTTTTTTTCTTTGTTGAATAGAATGTCAAAACTGGATCAGTGGGGCCAGGCTGAAGTATTGAACTTTCTGCTCCGATACCAGCCCCGCAGTGAGGAGGAACTATTTGACATTCTCAATCTGTTGGACAGCTTTCTCAAGAGCAGCAGCCCAGGAGTGGTGATGGGAGCCACCAAACTCTTTCTAATTTTGGCAAAAAAGTTTCCCCACGTACAAACTGATGTGCTTGTGCGAGTCAAGGGACCTTTACTAGCTGCCTGTTCTTCAGAGAGCCGAGAGCTCTGTTTTGCTGCCCTCTGTCATGTGCGTCAGATCTTGCATAGTTTGCCAGGTCACTTTAGCAGCCACTACAAAAAGTTTTTTTGCTCCTACTCGGAGCCCCACTATATCAAACTACAGAAGGTAGAGGTGCTATGTGAACTGGTAAATGATGAGAATGTGCAGCAGGTGCTAGAGGAGCTTCGAGGGTACTGCACTGATGTGTCTGCTGACTTTGCACAGGCTGCCATCTTTGCCATAGGTAGGTATCTGCTGCTTTTCCTTCTTGGAGAAAGAGCCTAGATCAGCCAGCTTGAAAGCTGTAGTTAGAGGAACCATAGAGGATAAAAGAGAACGAATCTTGCTTCAGAGACAAAGTAACACACACTATGGAATTGGGTCAATGATTACAAGCAAGGGGGAAAGGAGACTTTTTTTTTTTTTGGTTAAGACTGGTGTTGTCATGTCTTCCAGGCTAAAAAATACAGGTAACTCAAACTATAATACTTAATTTTTTTAAAATAATTTTTTAGTTGTCAATGGACCTTAATTTTATTTATTTATAGTCAGTGCTGAAAATTGAACCCAGTGCCTCACACATACTAGGCAAGTGCTCTATCACTGAGCCACAACTCCAGCCCCTGTGATACTTAATTTATATTGCCTTTTGTGTCTTCTATCCAAAATGCTTTCCTGTACTTCATCTTTTTTTTTTTTTTTTTTTTGGTACTGGGGATTGAACCCAAGGTGCTCTACCACTGAGCTATATCCCCAGCCCTTCGTTAATTTATTTATTTTGAGACAGGATCTCACTAGGTTGCTTGGGTTAGCTTCAAACTTGTGATTCTTCTGCCTCAACCTCCCAAGTCACTGGGATTGTAGGCATGCACCACCAAGCTTGGCTTAATAACTTCATTTTAAAGATGAAGAAATGTGGATATAAGATTATTACATTGTCTCTGGGCATGGTGGCTCACACCTGTAATTCCAACAGTTTTGGAGGCTGAGGCAGGAGGATTGCAAGTTCAAAGCCAGCCTTGGCAACTTAGTGAGGCCCTGAGCAACTTAGACCCTGTCTCAAAATAAAAAATAAAAAAGGCTGGGGATGTATCTTAATGGTTAAGTGCCCCCTGGATTCAGTCCCTGGTACACATAAAAAAATTATTTTCTATATATATAATTTACTTATATTGCATATATATATATTTTTTTTCTTATATTGCCAAAAGTTCCTATAGTACCTGAACTAGAATTGGAACCCAGCTATTCTAACTCAAAGTCCTGTGTSAGTTCACCAGTCATTTATTGACCTATAATTATAATACTGAATGCAGGCTAACACAGAATAATTCCTTGATTTTAGAGACTTTGGAATTTAAAAGGCTAGAGAGGGAAAAAAAAAAAAAGCAGCTGAAGAACTGTTTTAGAATGCTTCAAGTGGAGAAGGGGGAAAACCCTCATATTTGGAATAAAGTATGGTTATTAGAGGCGGAGAAGAGGGGCAAAGAACAGAGTAGAAATCCTCACAATTAAGAGATTGCCATCAAGTGTCCACAGTGGAAATATTCATGGATTGATGCACTGCAACAAAAATGGTGCTCCTATCTAGCTCATAAATATTTTGTTACTGTGTTTTTAACCTTGTTCTGTGGGAAACTTTTTGTCCATGAACTTTTAGTTATCTAGTGGTCAGTGAAATGGATTGGATTCTTTTTTTACCCAAGTTTCTTTTATAGAAAACTCAGAGTCTTATTTTATCAAGTAAGGAGTGATTGTTTGTTTGTTTGATTGTTTGCTTCTGGATGTCTTTAACTAATGGAAAATAATTTTAGAATGACATGCTACTATTAGATGTAATAGTAACATTTTTATCTATGTTTTCTTCCTCTGTAGGTGGAATTGCCAGGACTTACACAGATCAGTGTGTGCAGATTCTAACAGAGTTGCTGGGGCTTCGTCAAGAACACATAACTACAGGTAATGGCTACCTTTCTAAAATTTTTTTAAGGAGCTGGCCTATTGTAATTTCCTCCCAAATATTTTTGTTGTTGTTGTTGAATGAATAATATAGAATTTTGAACTTTTCCTTGCATCATCTGTTGTTATCAGAGAAGCTTAGGATCTGTAGATATAATAGGGTGGAGGCTTAAGGCTGTCATGAGTCACCTGGTGAGGCCCTAATAGATATATTATAGATAGGGAAGATATCTTATCATTTCCCTATCATTACTTTTTTTTTTTTGCTACATTGCAGTGTACTCTAGTCAATTGTTTCTAAGACTAGGACAAGGGTGAAGCAAGCAAGTTGCCTAGGATGCAAAATTTAGGTGAGCGCTCACTCTTAGGTTCATGCAAATGTCAGCCCTTCATGTTTCTTAAATTTTGCACGTTAGCATCTCTCTTGCCTCACACAGTCTCAGTCCTGGTGACTTTATTTTATTGTCTTTAGAGTATCATTCAACAGCAACAGTACCCATGTTTGCATGCAGCTTTACATTTTACATAGTGCTTTTCCATATATTAGTTCATTTATCTCCATGTCAATTTAATAATATTAACATTCATGCAAGAAAATATTGTTCAGGTAATCAGTGATCCCTCCAGAATCTTTTTTCTCAGAAATCTAGTCCAAATATATAACTTCTTAAGATTCTTTCCTGTGTGGAGGCTCTAATGCTGTGCTCTTGTATCCTGGGCTATGTTGTAGTGGTGGTGCAGACGTTCCGAGACCTGGTTTGGTTGTGCCCTCAGTGTACCGAAGCAGTGTGTCAGGCCCTGCCTGGCTGTGAGGAGAACATCCAAGATAGTGAGGTAGAATATAATTTTCCTTTACTTCTTGGCATAGAGGGAATGCTTAGGACTTGCTCTTCTAAAATGTAATCTAATTATTCTTTCTACCCTGTTTCTGTTGTGGAAATCTTAGGATTGATTTCACCTCAGATTCTCTTTTGGATGTCAATGACATATAAATTATAAAAACAGGATTTATGTATGGCTTTTATTACAAATCCTATATATAAGGGAGGGCTGTGAGGTACTAGGGATTGAACCCAGGAGTGCTCTACCACTGAGTTACATCCCCAGCCCTTTATTTAGGTAATTTTTAATAATTTGAGATAAGGTCTCACTAGATTGCTGAGGCTGGCCTCAGACTTGCCATCCTCCTGCTTCAGCCCCTGAAGTAGCTGGAATTACAGGAGTGTGCCACACTGTTCAGTGTATACATTCTTTGATATTGCTGTTCTCTTTAACAATTTTGAGTCAGATTTTTAGACTATGGAGATTTCAGTTGGAATCAGAATCAATCATTTGCGGAATCTTTAAAAAATTTGGATGTCACCCAAGGTCTGCTGAATTAAATGTTCAGGGGTTCAAGGCTGAGGTTGTAGCTCAGTGGTAGAGCACTTGCCTAGCGTGTATGAGGCAGTGGGTTCAATTCTCAGCACTACATAAAAATAAAATAAAGGTATTGTGTCCACCTACAATTAAAAAATAAATATTAAAAAAATGTTCAGGGATCTGTCTACCTATGGACCTGCACACTGCAGTGTGTACTTTAGGTTAATAACCACTTTCATGAAACATTGAAAAATTATTTCAGTAGCTTCCACTGAAACATTAAACCCCAAATTGGGCCAAAGGCCCCAAAGATGAAGAAACCTTATTTATTGCTTAATCAGCATAAGTTATGAAAGTTTGGGGTTTTCTCCTGTGCATTAGAATTTCATTCTTATTTGTTGTAGAGAGTTCAGTAGGAGAGACCAGTACAGTGCAAGTTGAAATAAATAAAAGATTACCTTTTTTCTGCAGGCATCAGGGAAAAAGCAAAGCCAATGATTGTTCACTATCTTCTGTTTGGGAGAACCAAGTGTTGAGCACCTGTTCTTATCCTTCCGTTCCTAGGGAAAGCAAGCACTTATTTGGCTACTTGGTGTTCATGGGGAAAGAATCCCCAATGCTCCTTACATATTAGAGGACTTTGTAGAGAATGTGAAGTCAGAGACATTTCCTGCTGTTAAGATGGAGCTACTCACTGCACTCGTGCGCCTTTTCCTCTCTCGCCCTGCTGAATGCCAGGACATGCTGGGACGTCTGTTATATTACTGCATTGGTAGGTTTTTTAGAAGGAAATAGTACTTGCCATGGCCCATGTTAGAAATTCTCACAGCTTTCTTTGTTTGTTGAGTCACATCTGGGACCTGAAAAGAAAATGTTAATGCTTTTTTAGGGTTTTCTCTCTCCATTTTTCTCTCCTACTATGGTTGGCACAAGGGTAAGAGGAGAGTGTTTTGTTTTTAATTAACTCTTTTGTTTGATTTCAGAGGAAGAAAAGGATATGGCTGTACGGGACCGAGGTCTCTTCTACTATCGCCTCCTCTTAGTTGGGATTGATGAAGTTAAGCGTATCCTGTGCAGTCCTAAATCTGACCCTTCTCTCGGACTTTTGGAGGATCAGGCAGAAAGACCTGTGAATAGTTGGGCTTCTGACTTCAACACTCTGGTGCCAGTGTATGGCAAAGCCCGCTGGGCAACTATCTCTAAATGTGTAGGGGCAGAGCATGGTGGTTCAGAGCGTTCTCACACAGCATCCTTTACTGTATCAGGTAAAGATGGTTCTTTCCTTATATCTTGTTATGAAAAATCTTTAACTTTTGTAATGACTGGTAGGAAAGTAGAGTACGCTAGCTAAATACCAGACTATTACCTGAATTCGACACCTTTGAGCAAGAAAAGAACTCATTATTGTTTATTTAAGACAGTCACGGTGTATACTTTTGGGAATGTAAATTTAAAATGTAGCTCCTACAGATTCATAAATCTCTTACACAAACTTTCTGACTCTTTTAGGACACCTGATTTCTGAAGAGAACAAGGGGAGAGTACAAGAAGCCCCTGATTCTGAAACTCTCATGTTGGTCCCCAATTGCCAGCTTACCGCTGAGTATTTTGAGAAAACTTGGCTTAGCCTTGAAGTTGCTCACCAGCAGGTGCTGCCTTGGCAGGGAGAAGTCCATCCTGACACCCTCCAGATGGCTCTACAAGTAGTGAACATTCAGTCCATTGCAATGAGTAGGGCTGGGTCTCAACCATGGAAAGCCTACCTCTGTGCTCAGGATGATACTGGCTGTCTATTCTTAACAGAATTGCTGTTGGAGTCTGAGAACTCAGAAATGCAAATCTCTGTGAAACAAAGTGAGGCAAGAACTGAGACACTGAACAGTTTTATGTCTGTATTAGAAACTGTAATTGGAACAATTGGAGATATAAAATCATAAGAGATCGTTGCTGCTTGGCCTCAGTGCAATGAATAGCTATCAGAGTTCCTTTGTTTTCCTTATTTTAGCTGCTTATGGGTCCAGATAATATTAGAAGCAAAGGAGAGTTGGAAATAAAAAAATCAGGATTCTTGTGGGTGGGGTTCACCCCCACCCCCCCATACCAGGGAACCCTGGGGTGCTTAATCACAAAGCCACATCCCCAGCCCTTTTTTATTTTTTATTTTAAGACGGCATCTCACTAAGTTGCTTAAGGCCTGGCTTACCTCAGACTTGTGATCCTCCTTTCTCAGCCTCCTAAGTCACTGGGATTACAGGCATGTGCCATAATGCCTAGCTGTTCTCATATTTCTAATCCAAAAGTCCAAAGTCCTTTGTGTACTATCTAAAGTACCTCTTTAGTGTCATGTATCACCATTCCCAAACATACCCTCTCTGACAAACACAAACCACTTTCAGTTTCCTGAATGTTCTTATGYCTGTGCCTTAACACCTGCTTTTATTTCCTGCCTAGAATGTTTCCTCACCCTTGTATCTTCTTTAATTAACACCCACTGTGTCTTTCAGTATTTAGCTGAGTTACAGCCCTTTCACGAAGTATTCCATGACCCTCACAGCCTACATTTTGTTCAGGCTGTCAGAGTGGCCAGTGCATACCTCTAGCACTGCTACCGTAACTTATCTCTTGTCCTCACTTTTATTTTATTCATACCAATTACATCTTGTACATTGAGACCACTAATACAAAAAACAGTTCTAATAAATAATGGTAAAATATAAATAAGACTAAACTATCCAGTAAGGGGAAAATGAAAATATTGGTTAAGGCCAATTGGGTTGGGATGGTGAAATACACAAATGTTTAGGCTAAAAGGGTCGACAGACATAGTGTGTCTCAGCTGTGACTCTATAGATGTCTAGGCAGTCATARTGAAAGGAAACATATAATTGTCATCAAAGAGTTAGAAATTTTCCATTTTTAATTTCAAAGAGAAATTTATAGTTTCATTTAGATTGGCACAAAGCCATATATATATGTGTTTGTGTGTATATATATATCTGTATATATAGGACCCTATAGGAAATTAGTAAAACTTTTCTCATGACTTTTTTTTGCAGAAGGGGTACTGGGGATTGAACCCAGGGGCACTTACTTTTCCACTGAGCTAAATCTCTAGTCCTTTTTWAAAAAAAAAAAATTAATATTTTTTAGTTATCAACAGACCTTTATTTTATTTATTTATATGTGGTGCTGGAGATTGAACCTAGTGCCTCACACATGCTAGGCAATTGCTCTAYCACTGGGCCATAACCCAACYACCCCCCACCTTTTAAAAAATATTTATTTTTTTAGTTGTAGTTGGATACAGTATCTTTATTTTACTTATTTATTTTTATGTGGTGCTGAGGATTGAACCCTGGGTCTCACACGTGCGAGGCAAGCGATCTACCACTGAGCCACAACCCCAGCACCCCCAAACCCCTTTTTGAAATTTTGAGACAGGGTCTCACAAGTTGCTGAGGCTGGCCTTWAACTTGTAATATCCTACTTCAGCCACCTGARWTACTGGGATTATAGGAGTGTGCCACTGCTCCCAGCTATGTTTTCTTATTGGGTTCTTCAATAAAATCAGAGAGTATAACTTGAACATGGAGTTTAATTAAGGAGTATCTTCAAGGACTTCATATAACATTGCCCAAGTATGTGGTCTTCATCATCCACCTTAATTCCAAGACTTCTACACCTAGATTTATAAACTCCGTGTGCTTCGGATAAATTTTTGCTTGTCACTTTTCTSAACTATGTGTTCTTCACAGGAGTACATAATAGTATTGAATTTTCTAGTAAGAGCCTGAACTTTTTAAGTTGTTTATTAAAGGGTCTTCTCGCCCCACTGGACAATTTATGAACAGTGGATGTCTTTCCTTCTGTGTTCATGGTGCCTGCCACATAATATTACTCCATAAACAGTAATTGACTGTAAGTAATTAAGATTCCAATAGTGTTTTGAGATTGCTGCTTTATTATATTGTATCAATTGTAGAGAAAATAATGGAATTTCATCTAGACCTGGATTTCTTAAAAGTGGCAGTTTTGACATTTGGGGAAGGATAATTTGCTATGGAAGGATAATTTGTTTCCTGTGCACTATAAGATAATTGTTGGCAGAAACTCTGGGCTTCTACGTAATGGATATCAGTAGACATTGTGTTGTGACAACTAAAAATATCTCCAGACATTTCTAAAGGACCTTGGGCGAGGGGCAACCCCTAGTTTCAATAATTAGCGAAGGGCTGGGGTTGTGGCTCAGTGGTAGTGTACTCGTCTGGAATGTGTGAAGCACTGGGTTCTATCCTCAGCATCGAATATAAATAAATAAGTAAAAAGGCATCTAAAACTAAAWATATATATATATACTTAAAAAATTAATGAAGAATTGATTTTTTTCTGTAGCTTGTTTTTTTTCCATTTTTCTTTTTTAGTTTTTTTAAAACTGGTACATACATATTTACATTGTATGTATTTATGATATCATGTGGTGTGTAGTTTGGTTTTAATAATTTATAAACAATATGACCAAAGTTCAAGTATCCTGTCAAGTTAATTCTTAAATGTTTCTTGCCCTTAGGAACTGTATTTATCATCTGCATACATGTGGATTTTTGTGGTTTTGCTGTTTAAAAACCCACTAAAGTACTAGGGATTAGACCCAGGGGTACCTTACTACTGAGTGATATCCCAGCTCCTTTGTATTTTTTGAGACAGGGTCTCCCGAAAGTGCTTAAGACTTTGCTAAATTGCTGAGACTGGCATTGAACTTGCGATCCTCCTGCCTCAGTTCCTATCAGTGGGATTACAGGCACACACCATCACACCCAGCTCATACGTCTAATTTGATAGTGTGATGTAAGTGGATGCTTATCTTTTTTAAAAAATATTTTTTAGTTGTAGTTGGACATAATACCTTTATTTTATTTATTTTTATGTGGTGCTGAGGATCGAACCCAGTGCCTCACACATGCTAGGTGAGCACTCTACCGCTGAGCCACAACCCCAGCCCCCTTGATGCTTATCTTTAAAAGTCTTTGAGGGTAGTTGATACTGTGTTCTGAGAATAATTGTCTTCTAATGTTAGCCTAAGTTAACGAGTAATCAGTATGTAACTTATATAATGAGTGCCCAGGAAGACATGGTGTGGAACATGGCAGAGGCAGTCACTTCATGGTTACTGATCATAATTTTATAGTTGTGGACCAATGATTGTAATATGTCTCCATTCTCCCTCTTTTTGAATGGGAGTTCTATTAGAATTATTGTGTCCCTTTCTCAGATATTGGGTGGTTAGGGGACTTGTTTTTTATAGGTTTCCATGCTGAGAAGAACTGCATCCTAGGATTCATCCACATATACATTTGGTGCAAATGACAAGATCCTGGACTTCTATCCAGGATAATATAATAAGAAAAAGTTTTTCCAGGAGGGATATAAATTGTTCTGGCCAGAGGGAGGCAAGAGAAACAAGTAATAATACCAAATTCTGGCTTCACAATTTTTCAGTAATAATTAGGAGCGCAATAGTAAGACTTCAGGGGTGAAAGTCTGTGGGTTGAGGGGAAAGGATAGTTTGGAAGGGTGCCACACTGAAGGCCCAAAGTGAAGTAAACAAAGGATGAAAAGTTATTCCACACTGCCCATTAAAGCCTGTCCCGTTTCTATAGCCTTACAACATTGCTTATATGAAATAATGCAAAGGCATGAAGATTAGGTTCCAGAGATGGCATTTTCCATAAGTGTATCAACAGTGAAATGAGGAGTTTGAGGTAAAATAAGTCAATTAGACTAACATTCCCTTTTTTTTGTAATAGACTTTGTAATCTAATTCATGAATGCACTTGATATAAGAAAATCACAAACAGATACCGTGATAGGTAAGGCTTTTCTTAGAAATACATATTGATTCACAGGGTTTTTGCAGTTTTCACTCCACATCCTTAGCCACATGTCAAACCCAACTCAGAAATACAAAACTCTGAGGGCTCTTTTGATGTTAAAGGTCTTAAAACTATTAGTATTAACTCAAGTTTCAGTCTTATTGTCTTATAAAGAGGATGAGTGATAGATGATAACAAATTAAAATGGCCCTCTAGCTACAAAGGAACTTAATTTCTGTTCCTAGTGCAAAAGCGATTTATGATTTATTTTAAAGATCTTTTAAAAGAATTTAACCTTTTTTTTTTAAAGAGGGGGGTGGACAGAGAGAGAATTTTAATATTTATTTTTTCTTAGTTCTCGGCGGACACAACATCTTCGGTTTTTTTTGTATGTGGTGCTGAGGATCGAACCCGGGCYGCACGCACGCTAGGCAAGCGCGCTACCACTTGAGCCACATCCCCAGCCCCAGAATTTAACCTTTTATTTATGTGTTTTTATGTGGTGCTGAGGATCAAATCCAGTTCCTCACTGTGCTAGGTAAATGCTCTACCACTGAGCTACAGCCCCAACACTAAAGATATATGTGTGTGTGTGTGTGTGTGTGTGTGTGTGTGTATTTTTTAAGCATTTTTAGGACCAGGTGTGGTGGCACATTCAGTAACCCAGCAACTCAGAAGGCTGAGGTAGTGAGGTAGGAGGATCCAAGTTTGAGGTCAATCTTGGCAACTTAGACCTTGTCTTAAATTTTTAAAAATAAAAAGGGCTGTGGTTGTAGCTCAAAGTAGAGCTCCCCTGGGTTCAATCCCCAATACCTCAGATGAATAAGTAAATAAAAAGCAATTTCAGGTTCATAGCAAAATTTAAAGTACAGATGTTTCTCATATACTCCCTGCTCTTATATATACAGTCTTCCTCACTATTAACATCCCCAACCATATAACTGTTACAACTGATGAATTTGCCTCATCAATTATCTATCACTTGAAGTCTAGTCATCTAAATTCTTCCTTGTCATTTTTTGGGGGGTGGGGGTGGGTTGGACTTATAAGGGATTGGACCTAGCAGGACTGAGCCACATCCCCAATCCTTTTTTATTGTTTATTTTTAAGCAGAGTCCCACTGAGTTGCTTAGGGCATCACTAAGTTGCTGAAGCCGGCTTTGAACTTGTGATGCTCCTGCCTCAGCCTCCCAAGCTGCTGGGATTACAGGAGTGCACCACCATGCCCAGCCCTCCTTGTCTTGGCTATTTTAATAAGCGTGTAGTAGTCATTTGTACTTTTAGTGTGGAACAGACAACAAGATTGGCTCTGATTATTCTGAGTAACTGACTTGCTATTTATGCTTGAATTTTATTAGTTGGGGCTGTTAATAATTTTATCAGGTCAGACAGGTTTAAATGATAGGGTTGTTAATAGGTTTGAGTGATGCTTCAAAGATGCAGACCCAAAATCTGGATTTAGCAAAATTAAGAATGCAGCCATCACATGTAAGCGTCTAATCCTCAGATCTCTTAAAACAATAATGGAATTCAATCCTTCGGGAAAATTCTCTTGTTAGTGAATTTCTGTTCTCTTTCACCTTGGTCAGTAGGCCTTGGGCTAAAGGGAAGATCCTTAACATTTGATGCATACCTGACACTTAAGATAATCCCCATAACATTATTTAATTCTCACAATTTCCCTATGTTTTGTATAATCACTATTTATGATTCATCAAACATTTAAGTTGGGATTTTTCCACCTCTTAGTCATTATGTGTGCTTTCCCTTCCACCTCAAATAGTCTTAATTTCTCCTTTTTTGCCTGGTGAATCTCCTTCAGAACTCATCTCTGATGTTACCACTCTTAAGGAAGCCAGCCTTCCCAATCCCCTAGGATTGCTTCCCTATTATAATCTCATTTCGTGTGTTATGTGTCATTTTCTGTGTTATTTGTGTCAAGTATCATTTCTTACTACATATAGGTGCTCAGTAAATAATCACTGTATGATTATGTCCAGTAAGTACTATAATCAGAAGTTGAATGTTGATCTCTTCAAAAACTTCCTTTAAATTACAATATACACAAAACCTAACAGGAAGTATTTCTTAATGAAATTACCCAAGAGACTCTTCCTCAACTTGATCTTAGATCTAAATTGGCTATCTAACAATAAAAGTTATTCATTACTCTATGTATACTGGCTCAGGTGTGATTCTGAGCTAAGGAACTGAAAGTCTTCAACAAGACTCCCCAGTTCCATTTGCTAGGCAAATGCTCTACCACTGAGCTACAGTTCAGCCCTTCTCTTAAGAGAAGTCCCACCTTTCTGATCAGCTATTTCTAAAGAAAGCTGGTGGAAAAAAGTTTCCAGAACTACAAATTCAGTTAGGAAACTACAAGCTGTGGACACATCTGCTGGTTTACCAGTATTTCTAACTTCCTGTTGAGCTGAAAACTGCTTGTTTTGTGGAAGAGCAAAATTTAATAGCAAACATCTAAAATGAAGAGTCCCAAAACTTTTGAGGAACAAACAGAATGCATCGTGAACACTCTACTCACAAACTTCCTGAGCCCAACATTGCACGTTGCCAAGCGGGACCTGGGCTCCATAGACAAACCTGACTCAGGTAAGGCTCCTGACCTGAGATGGTGATTACAATGAACCAGAGAATCTGAGTGTGCTTTTTAAAATTTCATCTTAAGTAAACTCTAAATTTCTAGCAACCCCTGAAGGGAAAGAGATTCTCAGTGAAGGAAAATTTTCTGACTACTGGTGTTGATAGCACATTGAAGTTCTTGGGGAGAAATTGTTTAAAAGACTAGAGAAGTTTTCCCCTTTGCCCAGATTCCTGATACTTATTCCATCAAGCATTGTGACCAATTTGTTTCCTCTTTCTTAGGAGAGGCTTGCAGCTTTGATGAGGCTATCATTGCTGGTCGCCTTCAGATGTTGGGTGACCAATTCAATGGAGAATTGGAAGCTTCTGCTAAAAACGTCATTGCAAAAACCATTCAGGGACAGGTCAGTTGTTTACTTCTTGCTATTGTTTTTTACTCTTTTCTATTTCAAACCTCCTTTTCTTACTATATAAACTGTGACTAGGAATGTCCTGTGAAAGATTTGAGGGCTTATATTTATCTAAGGGGATACAGCAGGAAATGCCCATTGCCCATTCTTTTTTTTTTTTTTCTTCTTCTTTTTCTTTTTTTGGTACTGGGGATTAAACACAGGTACACTTTACCACTGAGTGATATCTCCAATCCTTTTTATTTTTTATTTTGAAATAGGGTCTTGCTAAGTTGCTTAGGGACTCATTAAATTGCTAAGGCTGGCCTTGAATTTTCAATCCTCCTGCCTCAGCCTCCTGAGTTGCTGGGATTACAGGTGTATGCCACCACACCTGGTGCATCCTATCAATTAACACAAGATTTTATTTTGCCCCATTTTATTTTGCTTTTCCACTGTGAAGTTTACTCTTTTCCCCTGTGTAATTAATAAGTTTTATAAAGAGGTACTTTGCMACTATGTAAATATCCTATAACCCATCACAATTTCAATCTGTTTACTTTTATATCACTACAACTTATGAATTTCCACATTATTCAAATATCCACATTACTCAACAGGAAGTTATCATCTGTTACTATCATTATTTAGATGCTCAAATTGTCTCGTATTTCTCTGGTGAGAGTCCTTTTGATTAGGACCATGACTCTTTTATGTGTACCATACTTTGAGTACTTCTTTAATTTCTAGTAGAAGATCTTTACTTTCCATGCTGTCTGGAGTCATCCATTCTCCAGGGAGCTGTGTTTTCTTTTAATGAAAAAACATGTTCAGAAACTTAGATCTGGGTCCCCTTCCATGTGATTCCCTTCTTAACTTGTTTGGACTCTTGAMACCTTCCTCTGACCACTGTTAGTTCCCCAAACCCCAAAAGGCCATGTTTGGCTCCACCTAATGGCTTTTGGATGAAGTCATTTGGAAAGGGGAAAGGAAAGATGAAAAGGAAGAGCTTTGTTTCTTTTTTCTTTTACTTTAGAGTTGCCTAGAATTTTCTTAGTCATGCAAACAATACCTTTACAATTTGGCTTACTGTACTTCCATGTACTTAATATTTTTCTTTCAAAAGTCATTTTTCTTTCATTTTATTCATCCTAAGYAATATGAAACCATGGATCTGATGGGCTATTTCCATGTTTTTCTAATACTCATTAAAATGTTAAAAGGAGAAAAGTTTATCCATCTGTCCCCTAATATTACTTCAGGTATCACCAGTGGCACATTGGCCACTCTTTGGGAGGCACTTTCTCTGCTGGATTCCTATATCGGCAGTCTCCTGTACTTTTTGAGTGATGTACTCTACTGATAGATCCTCTCTCCTCAGGTAGGAGCTGTACTCCAAGACACAGTGCAGTTCCTCAGCAAGGCCTGGTGTGCTCAGGATTCCAGCCTAGTTTATGAGAGAGCCTTTCTGGCAGTGTCAGTGAAACTTTTTGAATATGTGGCCCATGTGGCTCCTGAAGTGGTGAGACAGATGGCTGTGCCCATGACGAGTATGATCAATGGGAACCAAGCCATCCGAGAGTTCATTCAAGGCCAGGGGGGATGGGTAAGTATGTTGGAGCCCCTACCTTTGCTACGCACCTGCACTGTTTGGTATTAATACCTGGGACTCTAACTATGACCCTTTTTGTAAATTGGAAACCAAGCCAGAGAACAGGCCTCCCTACTTGGCTAAAATTGTTGCCATGGGAAAGGGGAGTAGAAGAAAGCTCAGCCTGTGGGGGTTGGGCTCCGCCGAGAGTCATATTGCCTAAAGTGTTGTCTACAGACTCTAAATTCATCTCCACTCCCTTCCAATAATCATATATATGAAGTATACTGTTGGTAGAGTTCTAATCTCTGCTTGGCTTCAGTGTGTTCCCTGGTGAATTTCTGGGTCTTTTTTTTTCTAACATCCTTAAATGTGTTTTAAGGAAATTCAGAACTTTAATATTATCTAACAAAAAAGCAGTTTATCTCATCTGTTGTAGTGGTAACTAAAAGACATTCTAAGCCTATGTCTTAGTAATTGTTGGAACCTCTGCTGTCATAGAGTGTTTCTCTATTTCTAGGATGTGGGGTGAGGAACAGTGTGTGTGGGGTGCCTATAACCTCAAGAATTTGGGAGGCTGAGGAAGGAGAATTGCAAGTTTGAGGTCAACAAGAGCAATTTAGTGAGACACTGTCTCAAAATAAAAAATAAAACTGTAACTCGGTACAGCACCCCTCAGTTCAATCCCCACCACCAAATAAATTTTTAAAAATTAAAAAACAAAATTGTTCCCTGGATTATCTACAGATCATTCACTGGTTTCTTAGGAAGTTTTTTTGGGGGGTGGGGGAGATTGGGATTGAACCCAGGGGTGCTTAATCACTGAGCTACATCCCTAGCCCTTTTGATTTTTTATTTTGAAATAGGGTCTTGGTAAATTGCTTAGGCCCTCACTAAGTTGCTGAGGCTGGCTACAAGTTTGGGATCCTCTTGCCTTAGCCTCCTGAGGTTCTGGGATTTACAGGTAATGCACCAAACTCCTGACACTTAGGAAGTTTTTAAAGACCATTCTTTGACTGTAGGATTTTCACTATTCTTCCTAGGAAAATCTGGAGAGCTGAAGAAGTGGAATTATTCCCCAGACCAACATCACTTCCTCTTTGACTGAACAGGGACTGATTTCTGGCAATTAAAATGGACAAAAAAAAAAAAAAACAAAAAAAAACAAAAAACTCGCTTCATCTGGCAGGATTGAACTTAGCTGAATAAGTAATTTTCTACTGATTATTAAAGTCAGGAGAAACTCCCAGAAGCCTATGGAGATTTTATACTTTCTTTCTTTCTTTACATGAATTTTAATGAGATTTTGTTGAAGCAGAGACCTCCAGACACAAAGTAATGACTTGTTATGGGTAAATTTCTAGGCAACAGGACAGGCCTTTGCTGGAGATTTTGGAGGAAACAGAGAACACTAGAAATTATTCTTTCAGATTTAGCCCTCTATTTTGGTAAGGATCTTGTCTACTAATTTTGCAATCTAAAGGGAGACTTTGGGTTGAAAAATCTTACATTATATCAAGTTGATTTTCTCTCAAATTTATCCCTAAATTTCATGTTAATTTCACCTGAGCAGAATTAATTTTATGTATTTTAGAGGCTGAAAGCCAAAAATTGCAGTTTGTTCATCTAGCCTTTTACTAGAAAAGGTCAAAGGAAGATTAAAAATTACTGCATGTTTATTGCCACAGGATGTAGGAAGTACCAACCCACATTTAGGACTGTAGCGCCACCCCAGTTTAGATGAAGCTAGTTGCTTACCACAGAGTTTTTGTTTGTTGTTTTCTGTACTGGAGATTGAACCCTGGGGTGCTTTACCACTAAGCTATATCTTCAGACCTTTTCATTTTTTGAGACAGGGTCTCACTAAGTTGCTTAGAGCCTCACTAAATTGCTAAGGCTAGCCTCAAACTTGCGATTCTCCTGTCTCAGCCTCCTGAGTTGCTGGGATTACATAAGTGATCCAATGGGTCTGGCCAGAGTTTTTAAAAGTATGGTTCACCTAGCACTTGTGAGTCTTATTAAATTGCTGATTCCCAAGTCCCACCCCTAGAAATTTTGATTTTGTAAGGAGTGGAGACTGGGGCCTGGGAACCTATCATTTCAACTCCATAGGTGATTCTAATGCACATAGAGTTTGAGAACTATCACTTTAGAAAAAAAGTTGAAAAATTACAAACCATAGGCCAAATCTATCCTGCTYTTTTTCTTTCTTTCTTTTCTTTTCTTTCTTTCTTTCTTTCTTTTTTTTTTTGTAAATAAGTGTTATTGGAATGTAATGTCACTCATTTGTCTATATAGTGTCTGTGGCTGCYTTAACACTACAACAATAGAGTTGAATAGGAAGGGCAGACACCATGTGGCCTATGGAGTCTAAAATACTTACTAGCTGACTCTACAGGAAAAGTTTGCTGATCTCTGCTCTAGAGCTAAATGAACATTTCTTCTGGAGTAATTTTAAGCTTTGTTACAGTTCTGATAATTTCTATAAACACAGTTGTAATTAGGAATTAAACTCAAAGTTACTAAGCCCTTTTTTCAGAACTTCGTTTGAAGGTGTCTTATTTTTGTTTTTTTTTAAATCTTTTTTTTTAGGTACTAGGGATTGAACCCAGGGGTGCTCAAACACTGAGCCATATCCCCAGTTCTTTTTATTTATTTATTTATTTTTATTTTGAGACAGAGTCTCACTAAACTGCTTAGGGCCTTGCTGAGTTGCTGAGGCTGGCTTTTGAACTTGCAATTCTCCTGCCTCAGCATTCTAAGCCTCTGGGATTACAGGCATGTGCTACCATGCCCAGGAGAGAGTCTTCAGTCAGTCAGCGAGCTCTGTGGTTCCTGAGTTTCTGATTAAAGGTATATTTCTTTGGCCTTACAAGCAAAAGTGATTGTAAGTAAAAATTATTCTGTGATCTGTGTGTCTCACAGTAGTCCTTAAAAATATAGTCAATTAGTAGGCAGTCATCAGCTACACATTCTAAAACAACAACAACAGACTATTTACTTGAATGTCAGGAAGAAAATACTGCTATATGTACTTATTAAATCAGGTGTTAGTGACTTTGCCTGAATTTTACCAAAGCTAACTATTTTCCCTCCCTCAGCCAGCCATCTCTCTGGCTTTTAAATGCAGAGAAATAAATATACGAATCTATTAATATATTTTTGCTTTTCCAAGTAATACTTATTTTTTTCTATTCCTGGAAAAAAATCACAATAGGTTAATAATCCAGAGACAAAATTTCTTTTTTCTTTTTAGTAGAAATTAGCCATGTTTACTACCACCTAAGACAGTTGATATATATCTAAGTCCCTTATATAAAAATCAAGATGGTGAGTTTTGTGGTATTTGACCTCTTAGGCAAAAGCATAATATTTTCACTTTCACTAATGCTGTTTATGAAATAAAATTCTTCTGTCTATGCATTTGAACTCAGTTTTAGCAAGTGCAATCTAAATTGGATAGTAAACTGGGCATGGTGGCACATGCCTGTAATCCCAGTGGCTTAGGAGGCTGAGGCAGGCTTTTGCAAGTTCAAAGCCAGCCTCAGCAACTTAACAAGGCCCCAAACAACTTAGTGAGACCCAGCTTCAAAATAAAAAATAGAAAGGGCTGGGGATGGGTCTCAGTGGTAAAGTGACGCTGGGTTCAATCCTGGTACCAAAAAAAAGTCAGGCCAGCCCCTCCTTTTTCTTTTTTCCCCTCTATCATACCAGCTCCCTATTTCATCCTGTTTTGCCCCATAAAACATCAGACTGTGAATTTAGTTCCAATTATACTGCAGTGTATTGAGGTTAGAAGATACAGTGCCCCTTGAGATTATACCAGGCAAGTGGGTCAAACAGCTCTGCTTCATGTTGCTAGGTCATCCCATCTTAGGAAAGCTTAAGTGATTGGGCTGCTGGAAGAAGACCTTGTCTAGCTCAGAGATGACGAATGCCTTCCGATTGCCTAATTTTAACAATTTAATTTCACTGTAGGGTAATTATATGACGTTGGGCAAGTGACCTAATTCCTCTGTGCCTTACTTTCCACATCTGTAAAACAAAGATTATTTAGTAACTATTTCATAAGAATATTGTGAGGGATATATGAAACAATATACTCTGTAAAGGGCTCATCTTAGTACCTGGCATAATTTAACACTGTACTGTTAGCAATTTGGAACCCCTGTGATTTGGAGTTCCTAAGGTTCTAGATTGGCTTTTTTTTTTTCTCCATTAATTTTGTCTCTCACATACGTAAGTCAGTCTTAGAGCTTCACCTTTCACTTAATGTGAGTGATTCCTAAGTATGATTTATTTCTCTTCTTCTCAAATCCACAAACTAATGCTTATTTCTGCATGCCTTTCTTATCTCATACTCTCCTAGATTGCCATCCAACTGGCTCAGTCATTTTTACCCTTTTCCCTCTTTCGTCCTAATCATCCAGTTAATCTTCCTCATTTATTCCTTCCTGTCTTCCCTTATAATATGTGGGTCTCAGAGTCAGAAAGCATTACTCACKGTTTTTTGTTTTGCTTTGTTTTTTAACCAGAAAAAAATCCTAATAACATATAAAATGTTGCTGAAAGTATGCCCAGCAAAAGGAGGCTTTTTTTTTTTTTTTTAAAGGAGCAATCAAGAAACTTTCCAGGGTTAGATTGTGGCTCAGTGCCAGAGTGCTTGCCTTCCATGTGTGAAGCACTGGGTTCAATCCACAGCACAACAAACAAACAAATAAATAAGTATATTGTGTCCATCTACAACTAAAGATAATATTAAAAAGAAAAGAAACASTTTCCAGAAGCATTAGTTTGTTTCCATGCTCTTAAAATCCTTCAGTAAAACTTTTTAGGGTAATTGAGTATGTTTATTATCTTGATTGAGGTAATGGTTTCATGGGATACGTACATGTCAAAAGTGTACAGTTTGACATGTGTAGCTTGTTGTATGTCAGTACTACTTCAATAAAGTTGTTTTTTAAAAAGAAATTTGAGGTTGGAATGTGGCTCAGTGACAGAGTACTTGCCCAGCA